TCTAAACACTATTGACTTTTTATTCGAAAAACTATTATTGCAATCATTTTAGATAGTACTGTCCAAAATTCAAGTGCAAGATTTTGAACACTACGCAAACTTGTCCAAAATATTATAAAAATGTCTATTTTTGGCAACATGTTTTCTCTGCGAAGTATTATTTTTTTATGAAGATGGAGATTACCCTCATGTTGGTTGATAAGTTCGTCAGTAGTTGGAAGAGAAAAGAATTAGATTAGTTGGTTATTACCACTGACGAAGAAGACAAACTCATTGGATTATTTTATAAGGTGAGCTCTGAAAGGTAAAGTTTATATATACCGGTTTTGATCGATAAATAAATTAATTAGTTATTGCAAAAAAACTACTAAAAATCGTAATTTTTTCAAATTGCTAGACCCAAGCAAGCAATATACGGGGTCCATAAAAATGAAGTTTAATGAAAGAAAATGGGACCAATCGTTGTGGACTATTTTTTATATTGAAGTACAAGTATTCAAACATCTGTAATCAGCCCTTAATATTAATAAATGAGGTCGTGGCGACTTTTCAGAAAAAAAATTTTCTGGGCCCCTATTGGTCGTAGGACAGACTTTCTTTTTAAATTCGTGAAAAAATGTCAGCTTTCGAATGGCAGTTCGACATTTTGATACGAATTAAAATCAAAAAGTTAATCAAAGTTTTATGGACCCGATAAAAAACGATTTTTCGATCGATTTTTGCGATAGATTTGAAATCTATTTGAAGCTCGCGCAGTATTTGCACATAATAGTGTAATTATTAAAGAAAATTTTAAGCCCAACCCCGTTCCTAAAGATGTGGCGGCCTACGAATTATGGGGATTTTACAAAAACGCTTGTTTTTCGAAAAATTAAATTTTTGCAAAAACTATAAAATATTTTTAAATTTTGAAAAAATCATTTTATTTTGCTCACCAAGAGTTATCCTTTCACCAAGTTTCATAAAAAATACTTATTTTTGAAAAAATTGCGACTTAGCAGTTTTTTTTTGCAGTAACTAATTAATTTATTTATCGATCAAAACCGGTTATTCCGGCTTATTCGATCCGTATTAAAAATTCCTTTTGTTTGAAAAATTTTTTTCTAAAATATATAGTTTTTTTATAAATGAAAAAAAAAAACTTTGCGAACTTTGAACGCCATTTTGAAAATGAACCCAAAAATTCGGGTGGGGTAAAGTAGTTCATTGAATTCTATGGAATTTTTCCTAATTTTTACATATTTTCAATTACTGAACTATTTTTTGGCACCTGAAAAAGTAATTTGACTGGACTATTTATAAGTTGTATCAAATTTAAATCAAATATGTTGGTAAATAAATAAATAATGCTCATAAGACAAAATATATAGGCCAAATTAAACTCACTTTTCAACACGGAATTCTGTCCTGTAATTTTATAAATTTAAGTAGAATTATCCTGTATGAAAATTAATAAACTGTACTTTTATGATGATGTGAGTGTTGCGAGAAAAAAGAAAAAGTATTATTTAACATAAGTTCAAACATCTAAAAACATGAATATTTTAATTTTTCTGACATTTTGGTAAAACGAAAAAGTAACATTAAAAGTCATTTAATATGTATATGTAAAAACATTAGTCCATAAAGATTTTTAGATGTTCCGTACTTAGCTATATTTAAAGCAAATCCAGCACTCTCAAGCTCTCATTTTTTATGGAAATGGTTTATTAAAATATAATTTAATACCCACTTAATACCAGCTCGAGATAGATTTAAAGCCTTTTCCCTCAATAAAACCTGAAAAAGTATATTTTATTATTCCTTTAAAGGATTTAGAAGAATTTTAATGCTGCTCTTAAATTTATATGAACCCTAAAAGTGAGCTTTAACATTTAATCGATCTATTTAAGTACTTTTAAACATATTTTATGGTAATGGACATATTTTGTTGCAGACTAGATGTAGATATATCTCAATCTGAAGATATATTTCCCTCTGGAATTTGTATATATAGAATCATTTGGATCGCTACGAATGAGACAGAAACAAGGGATTCGAATTAGCTGTTCGTACCAGTCAAGTTCAATGAAAATTATGAATAATTATTATGTGAAAACTCGCTGAAAACTTTGCGGAGTGATGCAATAAATCTTTCTGATGCGGAAAGTTTGACAGTTGGCACTAAGTTTGCGCTAGTTATTTTTGCTTCAAGGAGACTAATAGTGTTACGATATTAAAAAGGATTGATTAGCCAACTTTTGGTAGAAATCGAAAGGGAAAAAGTTTGTTGAAGATATCTTGCTTCTGAAATTTCTTACGATATACTTTTCTTTTGTTTTATCAATTATTTATAGGCTCTTTATTATCAAAACTTTTATTAAATGACTGAAAATGTTAATTGTATTGGGATTACAGTTGCTTGGCTTAATAATTAAACATGCTTTTATTTCTAACAATACTTCAGGGTTGTATTCAATGTTATTTTTCTTGTATTTTGATTTATTTGATCTATTGATTATTTTTTTTTCATATATTTTTATAAAAGTAACTCTTCCCTATGCTTTTGGAGTAAGAGCTTATTTGATTAATTTTTTCCACAGGTGCGAAATACCCAAATAAATAAAGAAAAGAGTGTGCCATAAGATCTAAATTACTGAAATTTTTTATTAGTTATCGGTCAATTTCCGAAATTTTTCCGTGATTTTTGACAGACTATATTTAGATGAAAAATGGTCGTATCTGGAATTAAAAAAAAAGAATTTTGAAGCTCTAAGATTCTAGTTTTTAGATCTTTCGGTCGAAATTTTTTAAGAGCTACGGCAATTCTAAGAAATAACGCGACAAAATAATTTTGCAATTTTTTTGCAAGAAAAAGAATAATTTATTGTTTTTTAGAAAATTGACGGCTAAATTAGAAATATTCACGAAATGACTAATGACTATTACAGTTCGATATACCCAGAAGAACTCTGAAGTTTCATCTCGATCTAGTGAACCGTTTCTTTGTTTCAGTCAAACTTTTAAAAAAATTAAAGGGTCAAGTCTTTTGAGCTTAAACACTTCATGATCATGATTAAAATGGAAAAATATTTTTTTTGAGATTTTTCTCGCAAATAACGTTTAAATTGACGAAAAAAAAATTTCGAAAAACTTTCGAAAAAACTTTCGAAATTTTTGAAGTTTTATTTTGGAAAATCTTCCAGATATTGAAGAATCCAATTGTTTCCAACACAGCCACATTTTTCCGTCCTATGCTTCTTTCTGTTCATCAACTTTTAATTAAATTAAAATTAAAGTTGATGACCCAAACCAGATTTCGACCCCGATTCATACCGTTCTTTGGCAAATTTCTAATTAATTTTTGTGCAGTCTGTAATTACTTAAAAACAGTTTTTTTCGCAACTACCTTTTTTCTTCTCTGAAAAAAAAAATATTTTTTTTCATAAATTTAAACGTTATTTGCGGTAAAAATGTGAGAAAACCTCAAAATAATTTTTTTTCCATTTAATCGTGATTATGAAATGTTTAAGCTCAAAAAACGTGACCCTTTAATTTGTTTCAAAAGTTTCACTGTTTGAAACAAAAAAACGGTTCGCTAGATCGAGATGAAACTTCACTGGGTTCTTCTGGGTATATCGAACTGTAATAGTCATGCTTAACAATAGTCATTTCGTGGATTTAACCGTCAATTTTCTAAAAAACCATACATTATCATTTTTCTCCTGTTTTCTAAAATTCGTGTAAAAGATAAAAAAAAAAATCTGAAAAGTTGCGGCAGCATGTTATAGGAAATTTATTCCAGTTTTCGAAACTGCCCTTCAATTCTTTGTACGACCATTTGTCGCCGAGATATCGATGATTGAAGACAAAATTATCCTTTTCCACTAAAAGTCCTATATTTCGATGAAAAATGGTCGTATCGAAATTTAAACAAAAGGAAATTGAAGCTGAATAAACAAGCTATCTGGTCCATGCAGGCTTAGCTGAAAAAATTTTACAAGTCCGTAGACACGGAAAAGAAAATTTGCAAAATTTTTTTGTCGGGCTGTTTCTTAGAATGTATGATAACCGTAGCTCCTAAAAAATTTCAACCGAAATATCTAAAAACTAGAATCTTAGAGCTTCAAAATGCTTTTTTTTAATTCCCGATACGACCATTTTTCACCTAAAATCATGTCAAAATCGTGTAAAAATTTCGAAAATTCTTTTGGCCCTTTAATTTTTTGCATTAGTTTATAATAAAAATAATATAGGTCTCAATATAGATCCTCGCGGAACTCGCATCTCAATTATTTTATATTATAAATTGCCATGACATCAAATCAGCATATATTTATTTTACTTAATAATTCGTCCTGACATACACAATCAGACGCCTTACTTATGTCTTAAAAAAACTTCTTCAGGACTTTCTCCAGCCTGACTGAATATATTCTATAGGTTTCACATAAAAAGAGCGAATTTATGTAAACATTGACTTCCACATTGTCAAAACAAATTTCAGAAGTTTACTCAAATAGGCATGAAAGAATATTTTTTTTATTTCATTACTATCCCCTGCAAAAATTGTAAAACTATTTATGAACCACTCTTTATACAATTCTCCCAGTTTCTTACCTTTTCGTAGTTGTAGGCCTGGTGGATTTAGTAGCAAACTTTGTCGTATTCGACACAGGTTTCTTGGTGGGCTTGTTCTTAGGCTTAAAACTACTCGGCTTTTTCACCCTTGTGACGAACCCCGGCTCTGTAGTATACTGCCACTGTGTAGAGGGTTTGTCGCCGTGCTGCATCGAATTGTGGTTCAGCGAGGTGATGAATCCCGGTTCTGTAGTAGACTGCCACCCCGGTTTCGTGTAGTGACCTATGGAGATGCTGTTCGCCATCGCGAAGGCGTCTGTGCTCATCGGCCTGATGCTGTGTCTGCAAATCAATATTGAAAATATTGAGAATATTATCTAGGAAAAATAGAGATCTCACATCACGTATACAAAGTGTTTCCTATATGTAAAATCTTCTTGCTATGCCATTTTAGGGAATGAACTTCAATGAATCCATTATATAAAACTATCGGTTTCAAAAGGTAGAAATTTTAGGGAAAATAGCATATTTATTTATGTCGAAAGAGCAATGTTTGCCTTCTATTTCTAACAAAAATATGGGAAATTGTCATTTATTTTAAGGGAACTATTTCAATACTTCCTTTTCCTTAAGTCATTATTATTCTGTGAAATTATTGAATGAAAAAGACAAAATAATAATAGCAATAATAATAACAATAATGGCAACCATTGGGTTAATATCATAGTCAAACCATTTTCGAAACATTAACTAAGCGTATCTTTCATTGTTCTGCTTTTTCCAGCTGAGATTTTTATTGAAGTAAAAATTGTGTCATAAAGACAACCCCTTTTTGAACAAATCGAATTAATTTTCGGTATAGTAACATTGAAAAAAGTGACCCAGATGGAAGCAAATTTTGAGTGATGATACGTATTCCATTACTTAATTTAATGAACAAAGCAGCTGCATCGTTCATCGGTTGTCGTATCTGATGATAATTAACAAGATTGAAACTGATACATATCTCTTCTGTTCATCTGATAAACGATTCTAGTTGTATTTAATAGATATCACTGTTGTAATTCAATGCTAGTCGAGGTATATAGTCCACAGAGCAGTGGTTTACTGCAATATTATCAGTATCACTTAAATTTTGCAATCCTCTACATAGTGGCGATACTTATGGTGTTTTCATAGTACCTGCAATATAAGTCACTTTTACCATTTCGAGTCGTTTTGCAGTGATTAAATACGTTCAGGACTTTCAGTGTATTATCTTTTTTTGTAATGTACATCATTAAAGTATTTCATTAATTCTCAACAGTTCTATAGCAGATACGGCAAGTATACAAGGTGTTCCGAAATGATATGCCAATATTTGGTGGGGATGTTCCCTAGGCACATAAGGGGGGAGGGGGGAAACTTATTTCATGTAGTTTTTCGCTTTGTACCTTCCTTACATAAATATTACCAATTAAATGAAGGCCCAAATAATCTATTTGAATGCATTTATTCAGAAATGGTTGATTAAAATAAAGTTTGAAGGATACGTTTTACCAATAAAATTATGTTTTCTGATAATATTCTTATTAACACCTTCGCAAAATTGGTTGAAATGAGCAACCCCTATCGTTTATCGTTATAACTATTTTTTTTTTCTAAATAATATACAGGGTGGGCCACCAATAACGCCTCGGTCGCTAGGGACAAAACCTGTTTAGGTGGGTATGTGTAGGTCGATTACGGCTACATTTCAAAAATATTTTGAAATATACAGGGTGTCCAGGAAAAGCGTACCATATCAAAGTTATGTATTTTTAAATGGAATACTCTGTATTTTACTCATTTTTAAAAGCACCATAAAAAAATAGGTGAACTTTATTAAAGGTTCTTATTATTTACGAGATATTTCAATTTTAGTGAAAATGCAGGCTTTGTGTATAAATTTAATATTAGCAATAAAAAAATTATGTATTTTATATACTTGAAGTTATAAATTATTGTATTTGTCGTCACTTAGTATTGTACAGGGTGTTCAAAAAACTGTTGAATACTTCTCTCAACTTTAAACAGCAATAACTTGGTTATTTTAATGGGACACCCAGTATATTTTTACTTTGGGAGTTTAGAGAAATTTAAAACTCTTTCAAACTGTGTATAGGTTCCTTATACCTACCTCTAACGGTATTGGAGATATATTTATGCTGTTTCGTTTTTTAATGATTTTTTTTGTAATACGTACCCACAAGTCTTCATCGAGGTTTTTATTGGATTGGTTTGGGTTCTTCTTGATGACATCTTTTTAAATATAAGAAAAAAAATGAGGATACAATTAAATGACGCACCTACAAATTTTATATAATATATTCATATAATATTCAGTGAGAAATTATTTAAATCGAAATGTATAAGTAAGAATGGTGCATGTCAGTGGCCACCTAGGTATCTAGACCTGATCATAATGGACTTTTTTGTTTCGGGCTATATAGAAAATCTTGTACACAGTGTTCCACCTACTACTTGCGACGATATGAAGGAAAGGATTAGAGATGCACTTGTACAATCACCCCAGATATTCTAAGGAATGTAAGAATGTCATCTAAAGATAGAATAAGATTCATTCAAGGGAATGGTTATCAATTTGATCATCAATTTTTCCTTGTTTCTTTTAAAAGAAAAATGTCCGTTAATAAATATTTTTAATGTTGTTCCTAATTAATTTAATTCAGTTATTATTTTTTTGTTATAATATTTTTATTAGAAAACTTTCTTGAATATTGTCATAATTGACGCTTTACCAATTCAATAAAGACTTCGATAAAGACATCTTACAAAAAAATTCAATGATAAACGAAACGGCACAAATATCTCCAATACCGTTAGAGACAGGTATAGGGAACCTATACACAATTTGAAAGAGTTTTAAATTTCCCAAAACTCCCAAAGAAATATACTGCGTGTCCCATTTAAATTAACCAAGTTACTACTGTTTAAAGTTGAGAAAAGTATCCAGCAGTTTTTTTGAACACCCTAAGTGACGACAAATATAATAATTTATAACTTCAAGGATCTAAAATACTCTTTCCGAAGATGCATCCTTAAAATTATTTTTATTGCTAATATTAAATTTCTACGCTAAGCCTGCATTTTCACTAAAATTGAAATATCTCACCAACAATAAGTCCTAGGTATGCAGAACCTTTAATAAAGTTCACCTATTTATTTACGGTGCTTTCAAAAATGCAATAAAATACAGGGTGTTCCATTTAAAAATACATAACTTTGATATGGTACGCTTTTTCTGGACACCCTGTATATTTCAAAATATTTTTAAAATGTAGCCGTAATCAACCTACACATACCCACCTAAACAGGTGGCCCACCCTGTATATTTACAGATAATTTAGAAACTTTTTTGGTACTTTAGTTTTTCTTAAATTCCGGTTTTCAAAAAAATAACCTACATATTTTTAGTGAATATTGAGGAAGCAACTGAAATACATTATATTTTTCTCGGAATTTAAAAAAAAGTTGAAGAGTTAAAAAGTTCTAAATTGTTTAAGCCATCTAACAAATATATCTTATTTATTTATGTATTTATATGTATTTATAAAAAATACAATACAATAAAATACAATTCAATAAAATACAATAGGATTTGCTCATTTCAACCCCCTTCTGAGAGCAGGGTGCTAATAAGAACATTGTCATAAAATGAAATTTTAATAGAGAGCCTTCAAAAATAATTACGTGACCAAATAATTTTTTTTCTACAACAATAATTTTATTTCCTTCAAGTTGGGATTTACGTTTTGGTAAAATTAAAAAATTATTTAAAAACTTGAGAACATTCCGTTTGATTGGTGTAATTTTTCACAACATTTATTAAACCAATCGGCAATCGCATTATTTCGAGCGTAAACGCCATGGTTTATCATTGTCCATTGTAAATAAATCATTTCGTCTCATGCTCGACAGTCACATGGCTTGTAACCATTTATGAAGGCTATGTATACTGGTAAAAGATATCCCCCAAGTTCCTATTTTTTTGAGGAAAAATATGAAAACTGCTTCGTTGGACCACCCTTGATCATGTTATATAAAGAGGTCCATTATAAATATTTAAGAGACGCCCCCTCTAAATGGTTGCACATAATTACCCTGTTTATAAATGTTTTATACCAAAATTGCAGATGCCTAACAGATTCCATCAAACAAATGGTCCTAAATAACATGAAAGATAAAGTATTTCATTTTACGAATTTCAACTCAATGAAAAATGATGTCGCCCTGCTCTTCTATGTTAAAAACTTCGTAATTTCAATTTTTTACTGAAACGGAAAAGCAGAACACTACAGGAAAACTTCAGATTGTAATTCTGTACCATCTCCACCTGCGAAACTGTGATACAGTGCAGAAGTCTGCGTAACAACCTTACATAATTTCAGTTACCTGCGACTCTCTTACCTTGGCGGCTGCGTTGGTAGACGAGACGAGGAACCCGGCCTGACGTTCATAGATGCCGCCACCGTCTGGGCAGACGAGCCGTGCGGAGAAGCCGTCACAGGCCTGCTCTTGGTGGAGTAGCTTAGCTGAGGCCGGCTGAAAGCGAAAGCGGGATCTATGTAGGTGTAAAGACACTACAAATAAATGACATATCCATTTAAATGAGACCGCTTTGTTTGTTTTAGATCGTCGGTTGAATGAAAGTAAAGTTTTATGAGGCGCTATTACGCGGACTTTGTTTTGTTTGGTTGATATGCGAGCAACGGTAATGGATGTTTGCCTGGTCGGAAATGATTCAGCCACTAATTAAAGTTACTGTTGTTTATTTTCAGTTACGAGCGCATTTTACAACATCGGACTTTATCATAGATTAGATGCCGTTATCGGAAATCGGTTGAAAAAAGGCGAAATTCCGCTGTGCGAGATCTCCGACTAAAGAAATATCCTTCGGATTGTATAGAATTCTGACAATCTCATACATTTGGGATTGCGTTTGATTTTAGCAGTGACTGATTCAAATAATTTTTTATTTTTTATGAAACTTCTTATAATTTCTTTGGTTTATAAGTTGGTTAAAAAAATTAAATAAAAACTCGGAATCAAAATTTTAAATTTATTAAATACTGTCCATTCAAACATCTACCTTAATTTGTTCAAAACATACAGGCCGATTCACATATAATTTATCGGCTAGATCACATGATTTTTTTATTCTATAAAAGCTAATGGATAGACCTTCTCGATAACATCAGTTAAATAAAACCTTAAGAAGAATTTTTTGTAGATGGTGTTATTATCAAAAGTTTAATTTTAACCACATCATGTCCTGCACTTAAATTTTGAAAATTCGATGTTTTGAGATAAAATATGATAAAATTAAAAATCTATACCTAATATTTTCGAGGGTCAGAAAATGAGTTGCGGGTTTGAAACGTTAAAATTTAAACTAAAGCTAAAAATTAGTTATAAGAAGCGTTTCAAGATTAATTTATCAAATTAAAATCATAAATTTTCCTAAAAACCCTTTTACCTTATAATTTTTATAACAATTTAATTTGGAATGTTAGAAAATCCCAGTAAGAACATTAAAATAACATTTATTAACATCTTAACCTTCAACTGAAAAACTATTGAAATATCCTACTATTTTACGGTTTGTAGTAGTACAATAACTCCTATTTGAAATTTCCTTATAACAAATTCACAGTTTAAAGGTATTTAAAATTGCACTCACGTACTAAATAGGCAATTTTAACATTTCTTCCCCTAACTATGCTTTAGTTATACTAATTTTTTGTTAAATTTTCCTTGTTTTCTCAAAAGCACAAAAGCTTAAAAGCGGCACAACTGGTATACATTTTATTGATTAAGTCCGTCACATCATCTGTTGGAGTAGAGTACACCATAACTTTTATAAACACAAGAAAAATCAATTGGTGTCAGATCTGACTATCGCAATGTCTACCTACGCGTTCCATACGTCCCGATCCTGCTGCTATATTTCAGAAATTTGTAGTTAGACCGCTATTATGCCCAGGTGCACCATGTTGTCACCATATGTCGCGTTCTGCTGACAGAGGAACTTCTAATAAGAATCTCGTTTTGTAGAAAATTGAGATATTACTCACTAGTTAATCTATGAAGCAAAAGGGGTCCAATTAAATACCAAACTTATTTTGATTTTCTGGTACTTTTCTCCTCTTGGATTGCCGTCGGACTAATAATGGCAATTATGGCTACAAACCCGTTATTATGGAAACAACCTTCACCACTCTACAAAATATTGTTTACAACTTAATTATTTTGAGAATTGTCTCAAATAATCTTTATGGATTTTCAGGACGTAACTGGTAGATAATATGTGCTTTGAATATGTAAAAGTTAGGTATTCCTAGAAAATAATCTCTGACGGAACTGAAAAATATACAAGCTTCTTGCTCAATCTTTCTAATTGAACTGTAAGGAAGAAAGTTATATACAGGGTGTCCCGTTCATGTTTCAAAAAAACTTATATGCAAGTTCCTCAGTTCCTCTCTGTTTTCGAGATACAGTGTGTTGAAGTTTTTACTCTCCAATTGGTTTTCCTTAATTATCTTTAAATCGGCTAAAGATAAAAATGACAAAAGTTGAACACGAGTAAACAGCAACTGTGAGTTAAGAATAATGTGCAAACGGTTTGTTTCTGAGAAGCAGTGTCGCCGATACAGGTAATTGGAGGGGTACAATCGAAAAAAAAAATATGTTAAAAGTCAAAATTTATTACATTTCTGAACGGTTCTGTAAACTCTAAAGCATACTGCAAAAAAAAGTTATACTTGTCGAAATTCGATAGCATAAAGATAGAAGGAAATGGGGGACAATTTCAATATCTACTGTAGTATTTCGAGTTTGCACATTTATTTAATTGTGCAGCTGTTTTGTTCTGTATGTCTCCAAGTCTGTTTCCAAATATTTTTCTGTTTTTATCACTTTTTTTAAGCATTCATGTCCATCAACAATTCAGTCCATTCAACAATTGCTTATTTTAGTAATTGTAGTGTAGTAGTTTACAAAATCTAAAATTAGTTACTAATAGGTACCTAATTAATTACCATAATCTGTTTATTTTGATTTACTTTTTTAAATGTTAGTTTACAACAAACTGANACTGAAAAATATACAAGCTTCTTGCTCAATCTTTCTAATTGAACTGTAAGGAAGAAAGTTTTATACAGGGTGTCCCGTTCATGTTTCAAAAAAACTTATATGCAAGTTCCTCATGGAAAAATAATAGGTGTAGTTTATATAAAGTTTTTTCTTAGACGACCTGTTTTCGAGATAGTGTGTTGAAGTTTTTACTTTCCAATTGGTTTTCCTTAATTATCTTTAAATCGGCTAAAGATAAAAATGACAAAATTTGTACACGAGTAAACATCAACTGTGAGTTAAGAATAATGTGCAAACGGTTTGTTTCTGACAAGCAGTGTCGCCGATACAGGTAATTGGAGGGGTACAATCGAAAAAAAAATATGTTAAGTCAAAATTTGTTACATTTCTAAACGGTTCTGTAAACTCTAAAGCATACTGCAAAAAAAAGTTATACTTGTAGAAATTCGATAGCATAAAGATAGAAGGAAATGGGGAACAATTTCAATATCTACTGTAGTATTTCGAGTTTGCACATTTATTTAATTGTGCAGCTGTTTTGTTCTGTATGTCTCCAAGTCTGTTTCCTAATATTTTTCTGTTTTTATCACTTTTTTTAAGCATTCATGTCCATCAACAATTCAGTCCATTCAACAATTGCTTATTTTAGTAATGGTAGTGTAGTAGTTTACAAAATCTAAAATTAGTTACTAATAGGTACCTAATTAATTACCATAATCTGTTTATTTTGATTTACTGTTTTAAATGTTAGTTTACAACAAACTGAAACATAAAATAAATTTTAATATTTTTTTAGTTAATAAAATGTTTTACAATTTAACTGTTTCATGTGATACGTAAGAAATTAAAATTATAGTCTTAAATGCAAATACTGTTGGTAGCTAAATGTCTTCAGCTCATTCAATGGTAAGTTCCTCTTTCAAATTAATATTTTGTTAATGTACTCGTGCCACCTTATGTGAGAAAAAAAATGCAACTTTATTTTTCTCGAAAATGATAGGTACATGCTACCGAATTTCGACAAGTATACTTTTTTTTGTAGTATCCTTTAGAGTTTACAGAACCGTTTAGAAATGTAATAAATTTTGACTTTTAACATATTTTTTCTTTGATTGTACCCCTTCAATTATCTGTATTGGCGACACTGCTTTTCAGAAAGAAACCGTTTGCACATTATTCATAACGCACAGTTGATGTTTACTCGTCTACAAATTTTGACATTTTTTCTTTAGCCGATTTAAAGATAATTACGGAAAACCATTTGGAAAGTAACAACTCCAACACACTGTATCTCGAAAACAGGGCGTCTAAGAAAAAAAACTTTAAATTAACTACCCCTATTATTTTCCCAAGAGAAACTTGCACACAAGTTTTTTTTGACACATGAACGGGACACTCTGTATATTTAAAATATTCGCCTGTAAGGTGATCATTTGCGACTGAGTTTAGCCGAATGCATGTTTTCAAATCAAAACTTCAATGTTTTAAAAGATTTTGCTTCAATTTTTCTAAAGTTGTTTCATCTGTATGTCGTCCGTTTGGATAGTACATAACATTTTGTAAACTTTCGCCATAAATTATAATTATGTCATACTTTTCTTCATTAGTGTATTGAATTATCGTAAATACATAGTTCAATGACACTGTTTGACAGTTTTGTACTTTTAATTTGACTATTCAACGTCTACCATGATGCGTTGTACCATGGAAATAAATTACGTGGTTTAGTACAACTATCAAGAATGAAAATTACTTTATACTACTACTTTATATACTTTCAAAAGATTTTAATATACGTTTTATTGGTTGAAGCGTGACTCAATTTCTGAGTCTAGAAAATATACGAGTTTTGAATATTTTTAACTTGATTGTGAAATGTCTCAAAAATAAATGAGTTTTCAAAAGATAAATATAGGACATAATTTGCTTAAAATTAGAAATATCCCTTTCCGTTATCTAGTCTATTTGGAGGGGACAGGTTTATGTGAATCACCCTGTATATATTTATAATTACTGAGTGTCAAATATATTTACCCTGTAGGTCTAGGTTTACTGGAACTGTAGCTGGTGGTTGGTTTGCCTGGCTTTTTGGTGTCGGGACTATTTTGACTAGTGTACAACACTTGGGGACGACCTTGTGAGTGAGCTTGGTGGTGAGGTTGGTGTGGCACCACTGTGTTGTCTGTGTTGTTATGAGCACAGCAAGACCCAAACATGAAAGTGTCCACGCACATTCCTAAAAATATTAACAATCATAATCACAGAAGAGGCCCTCTAATTCGTAATCTCAGTAGACAACTTGTATGACTAAGGTTTAGATATACTGGTTGCAAATTCGCTTTACAAACCATTCATAGAAATTGACGGGTTATATTGAATACATTATTATGTGTAGGTACTGCTTCGTTGTGAAAGTTTAAGTAAAGTCAGTTTAGGTTATCCCGAACGATAAATACTGCTTAACAGTAATCATCCTACTTTTATAAAAAAAAATGGTCCTAAGAGTCTAGACCTTTAAGAACTTACTAACTAGACTTATTTTTCACCTATAGTAATAATCGCGATTGAAATTCGTATTGGTCAATTCGTCGTTAGTATAGTTTTGCTCATTTAGTAAATGAATTAAATTTCCAAAAAAAAGCTTTCGAAGCAACAGTAGTAATTATAGTGGATATGTATCGTAATCAAGCATTTTAGAGAAAATACTTTACTGCAATAGAAAAAAAATAAGCAAGAAACTCTAGACCTCTACCCCTTGCAACTGAAGGGGAAGGCCAAGCAATTATCTAGTAAATGACTACTTGATAAGTACACAATTTTCTTTTTGTAACTTTGCTCATGCTTCAGGAATAAAAAATGAAAACTAAATTTGTCTTCATATCTAATGATTCTACATTATAGCCGTTTTCATAATAAAGAAAACTGAAATATATTTTTATACATACCTATGTGAAAACCTTCGGACTTGATACACTCATAAACGAACATACAAGTACCCTGTTGTCCGTCTACCCAGCAAGGTTTGGGACTTATTTGATAAGCTAAAACAGAAATTACATATTAATTAAAAAATTCGTGAAGAAATAGAAAATGCTATAATGCATATTTACAAACTTGGGAATTATTTTGAAAGGTACCTATGCATTAATAATAAACATTTTCAATGGCCAAAAAAATTTATAATACTCAAAATTGTTAAAGATGTTTGAGGACCCCTGGCACCAAAAAAGTGAATATTTGTAGTCAGATATCGCCGTCTGTTTTTTGTCTTGTTTATTTTTTGTGTTGCTAGCTAGATTATTATCTACTTCTACTTTAGTTTTCTTTACGGAAACATATCTTTTACTGTTTAAGTTTTAATTGATGTTATTTGTGAAGAAATGTTTAATTGATGTAATTTGTTTTTCTGGATTCTTATTTTAACTGTTTAATTTTTGAGAAAAACCCGTTTTTCTTAGGTCTATGTATGTCAACACATTAACAATGAATTAACTGACATATGGAGTACACAAAGCGATTTCTGTAAACAGTTGTAAACAAACCCAGCCGAGCTATCGACGGAGTCAGCGGTTCTAAAAATGTTTCTCCGTATTATTGTGGTAAATCAGTACGTATTAAAAATCTATATTCTACTTGCCAATCGAGTTCTCGAACCTCGATTTATTTACTCTACAAATATCTTCGAGTTTGTAAACACTCACTGTATTTCGTGGCTTTCTTTTATCTATTAAAGTGATAAAATTCCATTTAGTAGGTTAACTATTGCCATATATAACCCACCACATCTGTCTTTGAGACCATATGTTTCCAAAATGTAATTATAGATAATATCGTTTTACTGACACTAAAAATTTATATTACCATGTCGAAAGTGTCGTCAATGAACGGATTCAATAGGATAGACTAAAATGACAATGAGAAACTTACAATAAATTTTACTATTAATAACATTCATAAGAAGAAGTCGTAAATAATAAGATTCGTAAACATGTCATAACCAAGTCATTGATATTTCTGGTTTGCTTATCTTTTAAATTGGCACATATTTTTATACTTTCGCACTTCTTTAATTTTTATTGGTTTTAAATCTGACAAATAAAACTAGAAGATTACTATTTTTTATTTGACATGTTTAAATGGCAAATTAAAACAGGTTTACCTCGAGGAAATACTTGAGCTTTAGTATAATGAATCGGGTTTAAATCCTACTTAATTTATACCTGCATCAATTAAATTACACCAGCAACTAACATCACGATTAGCATTAAAACATAATGTAATTAATTAACAGACACAATAAGATTACAAAACTATTTGTCTACATTAGTCAGTTGTTATTCTTGTCACGTGGCAAGCGCAACGGGTAATAAATCTTCTTTGTAACGAGACAAACTTAAATTATGACTGATAAAACAATGAACAAAACGCTGTATAACTGATAAAACAATGCATAACTTGCTGGTACTAAATCGAAGAGTCGATATGCTACTTTGTAAACAGACACGTACGAAAAGTATTTTTACATAATAAATTTTTCTTGAAATAACATCTTGTGATGTTACTTGAAAAGTACATCGAAACATCGAAAAAATATATTTGAACAAAATGTTTCTTCTTTTTAAGTTAATTGATATCAGATACACAGGTTATTCATCATCTTTTGTTATTATACAAAAGTCGTAAATATAATAGAAAAATATTTTTTTTTTCTATTGGAATGATGCTCAAGTCCGTAACGTCTTTGGTTTCGGAGACAAGAGTACCTTGGATACATATTGATATCAAATGTTAGAAATATGCCAAAGTTATTTTAAAGTCATACGGTTAGATATGCGATCATACTATCATTGAAATGAATAGTCTTCCAATTTATAAAGAGGTTACGCCACTCAAAATAAAAAGGGAGACTTGTAGCACCCACTAGGCTATCTAAACCTAATTTGGCGTGCTGACAGGGTGTGCATAAATCGATGAAAATTGCTGAAAATCCAGAAAAATCGTGGAAAAGCCTGCTAATTTGCATCAGCAATGTTTTCAAAAGATGCTTTTGGACAGGATAAAGCCTTAATCGTATGTATTATAATTCACTGAACTTCATAATCGAGTTATTTGAGAGAAATCGCCAGAAAAATAACAAAAATCGTTTTGGTTAGTTGACTTTTCCAGAATTTTTATTAGGGATTTTCAGCCATTTTTAGCGATTTACCTAGAACCTGTGCGTGTTGGATTAAAACTAGTAACGGAATCGGATTTAGCGCGTCAAAATATATACAGGGTGACTCATTAACAATGGGAAATCCGAAAGCTGAAGATACCACACGTGAAATGATGATCATTGGCGCAAACATGCCTTATCTGAAAGTTGATAGTTTCGGAAATACAGGATGTTGAAAGTTACAATTTTAATTCATTTTTTCTTACGATTATTTGATTGTTCGCAGAATCCAACGTTGGCAATGATACACTTTACACAGCATTTTTTGTGAGATCTCTGAGTTTGAAACAACGTATTGGAATTGCGTCTGACTTCGTTGGTAGCGATTTGTTGTCTTTGCCACAACTCTTCACGCGAACTGATTGTTTGTAAACTATATCTTTCTTTCGACAGAATACAAAAATCGAGAGGATTGAAGTCTGGGCTTTTGAATGGACAAGTAAAAATGCTTGCACGACCAATCCACTTGCCGAGTACTTATACCTAGAATTTCGGTCACTCTAACCAAAACTTACTCTTGCTCCTGCTCCTGCTCAACCTAAATACTTTTTGGAGCGCTGTTATTACATTTCAGACGGAAAGATCCCGTTTCGCCTAAGCGATTGTACAAATTTTAAATTGTTTTTGATTTGGTTGTCTTCGGTTGGGATATAATTCAGAATATCTTCTAGCTGAAGCAAGACCATTGAAATTTTCTTACACATAGACAGATTATCGGCAGTTGCTGCTGGTACTTTTACGTCAACACCAAAAACAGAAAAAGAATGGCTTAGCCCTAATAGAGTAAAAGTTGGTACCCATACATCTGAACTGATGTGTTGCATTTGGTAGGATAAAAAAAGACAGTGTATGGACTGCCGAGGTTTACTGCCACAACAACTTGGTCGTCTTGAGGTTGCAATTCAAGAACAGAGGCGGGGAAGAAATCATCAAGTGGTGCACATGCTGCTATTCAGTAGCTCGTTTGAGAAGTCGGATTTCAAATCTGCTCTATTCTCCTGATCTTGCTTCATTATATTTCTTTCTCCTTCACTCTATCGGGCAAGTACTGAGGAACCTGCTTTAGTGACGTAGTCATCAAAGCTGGCATGGTGAATTCTACACTCTCAAATATCTGTGCATCTTGTTTATTATTTCATGGATTTTGTTTATTTTTTGTACATTTTGAATTTAATAAAAATGCTACGGACTTATGCATCAACTCAATATTTATTACATTTTTTAAATTTAGTGTTACATAATAGCGAAAGTCCAGCTTTTAGAAAGTACTCTATAATATCCCAACACTTCCTGGCAACGCTTTCATTATTTATTGATTCAATTTATTGACTCAAATAACCGTTAAATTCAAAATCTGGCCATCTTTGCAAATTTATGACCCACTAATGAAATTCATCCAATTAATATATTTTTTTTATCTCTCCTATAATTCACCTTTTTTGTGAATAATATTAAATTGATTTCACTGTAAAAGAATCGATTGATAATAAATCGGTTCGTCTATCAAGAAACGAGTTTTTATAACGAGCTTTCAGAACAGCGCTTTCGAATTTTGTTGATTTATGGAGCAAAAACCTGTTGCATAAGAATTTAATTAGGAGGATTCAGGAAGCTGCATCAAGAGTAGTCGTTATTGCTCGAGTCGAGGAATTATAACAGCATTATAGGTGCGAAAGCGACGCGGAGCGCCACATAAATAGCTGCAGGAAATTATTAATAATTGCGAGAGCTTTAGCTGTTTACTGGTTCAGTCTCACTTTGTTATTTTTAATTACATGCACTTGCTGTAGTTCCTTAATTTTTTTTTACAACAATTAGATCGTGTTATAGTTCTATGAAAAATACAGGGTGTCTCACGGTGACGGCCAATTAGAATTATTTCAAAGATTACTTCGATTTGAATTTGGAAAAATTTGGGATACCGGGTTTTCGGGCATGCCCTTCTCAACTATAATAATGGCGCCCACGTACCACTTCCGGTTATACCGGAAATCCCTATCAACTTGCTTATTTTAAATGGAACTCCCTATATATTATTGCAATTTTGGATTCTACGTGTTATTTTAGGTGGACTTTATGAAGTTATCCTATTCCTAAAATTAACTGTTTTCAAACCATGAGTTTAGTTAACTTCAAACCTTCATAAGTCGGTTTTTTAAATGGAACACCCTGTATGCTTTTCTATATTCTGATACACAATTTTATTCTCTTTCGAACGGTATCAGGGTTCCCTATACCTATCTCTTCTAGTTTTTAAGTTATCTACTATTTTTTGTTTAATCACCTAAAATCATGTAATTTCTTGCGAGGACAGCTGTGGAATTTTTAGCAAAACTTCAAAACAAACAACTAAACTGTCACCAGTTATTTATTATTATTTATTCACAGACAATGGGATTCTAAGCAGAACATTTACAGTTTTTAATGAGACATATCCCAATTTTCCACCAATGAGCAGAATAAAGTTAAGAATTCTAAAAAATCAACTTCATACATAGTAATACACAATTTTAATTATGTATGTTGATAATAATAATGCACTAAGATAAAAAAATGACTTAAAAAAGTCATACATGTTCAATATGACCCCCATTAACAGCTAAGCATTTCTGGATTCTAGAGATAATACCATCAGTCACCGCATTTGCTATTTCAGCTGAAGGCAATTCATGGAACGCTCTTCGTATTCGAGCAATCAAATCCTCTTTTGAAGCAACGGGTGTAGAATAAACTTTTTGCTTTATTACTCTCCAAACATTAAAATCTAATGGAGTGAGGTCGGGAGACCTCACTGGCCAATTCCACGGTCCTAGGCGACTCATCCATCTATCTTCAAACATTTCAGTCAGCTGTTGATCGATTTGATTGTAACATTAAGCCCCATCTAATTATTGATACCAACACTTCCTTAGTTGGTCTAAAGGTATATCAACTAGAAAATCTGCCACAACCGTTTGCAAAATATTGAGATATATGTCGGCATTTAAATTTTCTTCGTAGATATGGTAAGAAATTTGGTTATTTTAATTAGACAAAAAACATTTACGCTAAATTTATTTTGAAACTTTCTTTCCCGGATAACATGAGGATTTTCAGATGACCACAAATGAGTAAATTTAGTTCTTAGCATCCTGTGAATGGACGCTCGTGAAATATATATAAAATAGGCTAGCACATTTATTACATTATCTTCATTTGAAGTTATTGGTTTTGGTAAAATTCTTTCTGCACAAATTCGACCATACTATAGTTGATTTGCTAAAATTCTTCTTAACTTTTTTCTGCTCATTGGTGGCCAATTTGGATATGTCTCATTAAAAACTGTACATGTATAATCCCATTGCAACGCCCGTGAATGAATAATAAATTTGAAATATCAGAATTTGAATATGTATTGTTTTCCATTCCTTATAAACAATAAATTAAACTGTCGCTGCAAGAGACTAACAATAAATTGACAGTTTAGTTCTTTGTTTTGAAGTTTTCCCGTTCGAAAGAGAATAAAATTGTTTATCAGAATATAGAAAAACCCCTATAAATTGTTGCTTTATCTTTCTTACTATAAAATACACATGATTTGAAGCAGTCACTGTTTCTCTCAATTTTTTTGAAAAAAATTAAATATCTCGAAAACGGTTAATTTTAGGAATAGGGAAACTTCCACCTAAAATGATACATAGAATCCAAAATTGCAATAATATATAGGGTGTTCCATAAGCAAGTTGATGGCGATTTCCGGTATAACCGGAAGTGGTCGCCGTGAGACACCCCGTATAGGGTGTAGTATTACAACGAGAAGGTCTTGGACATCCTTGGATATAATTTAAGAATATTTTTTTTATTTGTACATTTTTTATTCTGGAACATTTTTTTATATTAATTTTTAAACTATTTACATTCGTTTCTATCTCATTTGCCTTTTTACAAGAATTTTTTAACATTACCAGCAAGCAATACTGTGTCTAGTGTTCAATAAAAAAAATTGTAAATGTAGGTGAGATATAATCTACAAAGCAAGTTATATGTTTATAGTTCTTTAGATATTGTTGGAGTAATTCAATGCTGGATGAGGCTATAGTCTGCAGAGTAGTTGCTTCTCATTTCTCATATTTACTTTAAAAAAAAAATTAGTTAGGAAATCCAGCAGTATTAAGTAATATTTTTTCTAGTCGATTTATAAGTAAACAATAAATCAAATAAATTAAGATCCATATCACCGTTAAAGTGTAATTAGTACCACATTCTGGTGAGGATAAAATTAAAATTTGTCGACTCTAAAAAGCGTAACTACTGGTATTTTCAGAATGTCTGATGAAGTCTCTAAAAAAGTTGTGTCCAGTTTTTAATGAAACACCACATTTAAGGACATACGTATGTTTAATGCACAGCATACGGTCAAGTATACCTTGTCCTCTTTGTGAAGAGTTAACAGCGGCACCAGGGGCTGCAGACCATACCAATATGGCACCCAGAATGGCCATCCAGAGCATACTTGATCCTGAAACAAATGAACAACGTAAGTTATAGGTAACAATTAAACTGAAGAAAATGGATGTGTGTAATTTAATAGATTTTATTTTCAGCTGTTTTTAAATAACATCAACTACAATTGTATAGTAGGTATTTAATTGGCAGGTAGGTATACAGGGTGTTTATTAAGTACTTGTACAAACTTTAAATGGTGAATCTTTGACTAATTTTAAGATAAAAAGTTCATATCAACATTTGTTCGCAACGGCTTGGTTCTCGAGATAGAGGCGGTCCAAAAAATTTTTGTTTGGTATTTTAATTAAGTATATTTTTGTTTTGCGAATTTTTATTTTCTAATTTTTACTAATTTGGTGACAGTAATTTGTAAAGTGATAGTGTAACATAGCACATGACTTTATTTCACTTATTTTTCAAAAACATTTTATTTATTTTATTTTATAAAATTCAAACTCGTTTTTTTCGAAATGGTTGTTCTCAGCGACAAGTACTAAGAGTACCTTTTGTAGGAAAAATGTAATGGAGAATATGTATGTTTAGTAAAAATTATATACAGTGCGACACAAAAAAGTTATGGTTATTTAAATCAAGGTGCAACACTGTATGTGACTCCCTCTAAAAATAAACAAAAAACCAAATAAATATTTGAGTTTCTCATCATCAATACTCCCAGTTTCCGGAATTTCGTCAAATTGCCATGTTATTGAACAAAAATATTAAAATACCAAACACAATTTTTTTTTTTTGGACGCCCTGTACCTCAAGGATCAAGTTGTCCTAGACCCATGTTCATATGAACCTTTTATCTTAAAATTAGCCAAAAATTCACCCTTTAAAGTTTGTACAAGTAATTAATAAACACCGTGTATACAAATAAAGGTTATTTTGAAAAAATTGACGGTGTTTTTAGAACAGGAGATGTTACTTCTTGTTCAATTTTCATTTGTTTACATTACTCTAATTTATAAATATGATAATTAATTAATAGCATTCCTTAAAACGTAATTTGGAAAATATATGTATAAACGGAATTGTGTTGGGTGCAACATTATTGTTCTTCTAAAGAGGTTTCTGGGTTCTAGTTGGTGTGAAAACGAAATTCGTGATTATGACCATTGTTTGCGAATTATTAATATCCTCTTGCATTCCAGTACTCAATATTTATGTGTGACATTCATATAAATTGCTTAGACATACTTTTGGGATATGTGACTGATTGTGAGATAACGCTGAGTTAGCTATAATCGTATGGACAGAATAAATTTGTTGCTCTTTTGACATATGAAAAGAAGGAGTTTTGATCTTATAATAATAATTAAAACGTAGGATTTTTCCTATCATAACTTCAAACATATACAAATATTTTTTTGAACATAATGTAAAATAAAGTCAATAAATAATATAATTGGCGTGGTGACGGTTGAGAAGAGTTGAACAATTTCCGCAGACTACTTCTGACATTTTGAAAGACATATCAGAAGAAACTGTGTAATTGGAGATTAAATCATCTGTTTGGTATGTACTTGCCCTGCATTGGTCCAGATCATTCATGGGCATTGGTTTAAAGGCACTGACCTATGATATTCCTGTTGTTGATTTTTGGTTGCAAGTTTTGTTAACAATGTTACAAAGTGTCTGAGCATGGATTGCGTTTTTTCAATTAATTTTTATACGGGGTGTTTCAGAAAGACCTCCCGTAAATACAGGGGGTGATAGTACGACAAAAAATAAGAATTTTTTTGTCTTATGAACTATATGTCCTGTTGTTTTCGAGATACAAAGCGACAAAATAAATGTTTTAATTGAATTTTTACGAAAGTTTCCAAACGGTGCGAAATATTTTTATAAAATTTGGTATTCCGGGGTTTTTAAAGATACCAAATACGCTGCTCTAATTATTTTTTGTATATTTCATAGAGGGCGCTAGTTATGCTACATTCCTATTACATTTTAAATTCTAATTTTTTTAAGGTTAGCTTTTTTACCATTCGGGCTCCAATTTCTAATTTACAATTTTATATTCTAAAAATAATGTATTCTTCTACTCTTGTACTTCCTAATGTGGACGGTTTTCGAGAAAAAAGACTTTTAATTAAACTCTTACAATATTACGATGTATAAAATAAGTGACTTTTCTCAAAGTACATTGAAAGAAATGCGTTTTATTCTTTATTAGAATTCTATATACCATTATAAGACCATTGTATACTATATGTGACAGTTAAACAGGTGAATATTGGATATAAAACGCGTATTGCTAGCACAGTTGTATAGTGACTATAAACCTTATTCTTTATTAAATTATTGTATAACTAGTATACAACGTTTTTTATACCCTTTACGAAATAATAGCAATAACTGTTATTAAAGTGTTCCATATCGTTATTAGAACATCTAGTACTGGTTATAAGTTTTATAATAATAAATGTATTAAACTGTTGTATACTCTGTATGAGTTAAAAACATATGTCATTAAGTTTTCAGAAATTTTATTGGATAACTGTAATTACAAGCTAAGGTTCTAATGTAAACATACATAAAACATACTTTTAAGCATTAAAAATGATGACAAATCGCTCCCAAAACTGTCCAGTTTATTTTCTTAGCAACGATGCACCCGTATTTTCTTGTATTACATGAGAATTTGCACTATAACTCTTCCACCTTAAGAATGAAGCATCCCCAGAAAGGTTGAGCTTCTTTCCATATAATTTTATTTCCTCTGGTTGATTGACTTTATACCCATGCTCTTCTTTGTCACCGTTAACCTTCTGTTCCTCCATCTTATGTAAAACTTAACATCAGCGATTTCTAATAGGACCTACAAAATAATAATTTTTAAGATTTAGACAAGATTTACATTTGAAAAAACAAAACAATTACAAGCCATAAAACAGTTAGATACTTACATAATAATTTTCCATTTCACACAACGCGATATGATCATGTATCCCACAAAACATGTGCATATACTGTCCATTTTCATCAAACTAGACGTGTGTAAGTCGATGCACAGCGGACTGTCGGAAATTTTACGATTGTTGTATTTTCTCTTCTTGAGTAAAGATAATAAAGACGTTGTGGTTTTGTGTGTTTATTTTGACAATGATTGAACATGTATGGACAATAAAAGTGGACTGTATAAGATAGTTGAGTACCGTTCTGCTTCATGCATAGCATGCTACTGAAATCTTAGAAGGGATGAGCTCGTGCGGCGAACCCTAAATCAGCGGCTGGAATAGCCAGGTTTCTTATTGAGTCGGCGCACTTCGCTCTCGGGTCTGACATATGATTATTATTACAAGACTATGAATATAACTTAACAACGATCATAACCGATTATGCACCGAGAGGTGACGATCACTTAACCATTATAAGATGCGTTTTACACGTTAAAAACGGAAACATATTCAGTATAAGAACGAATAATTCTGTTAATACAATTGTTATATACAAATTCGGATACTGGTCTTTATACAACAAATCTTCCCTACTATACAACTGGAATATAAAGTCTATAACACCTAATAATGTATAAGTAATTCATTATAACCTTTATTTCATAGATGCATAAGGTGTATTAAGCACCTTCCAGTTAAACTGATTGAATAATGAGTATGGAGATGATTGCTTTTTTTTAATAAAAGTTGTATATTGGTTATAAAAGTTTTAATATGCGCTATACACATTATTCTAGATAAACAGTTTAATAAGCCCATTTCTTTCAGTGTAGGCTTATGTCAAAACTTTTGATGGATGTCTCATAAACAACGCATTCTTAGTAATATTTTAAACTCTAATTAACTTTATATCTATCAAAATTTTAGTGACTGTAGTGACAGTAATTAGTCATTACTAACTACAGTCACTAACAATCACTAAAATCTTGATATAAGGTTAATTAGAGTTTAAAATATTACTAAGAATATATGCGTTGTTTATGAGCCATTCATTAATAAGTTTTTTTTGAGTGTACGATTATTTATATGCACTCTTTTTGTATCTCTTTTAATATGAAATTACAGTATTGGCACATATTTTACTAACATCTTGGTTAATAAGATTGGTAGTTTACGTTTTGTAAGTACTCGTATTATTACCCTTCATAAATTTTCTCGTAACGGAATTTCTAAAACACCCTGACCCTATATGAAAGATTAAGGCCTTGAACTGATTTGTTCATTGTATGAAATATGAGAAAGCTTCGAATCTACTCATAATTTACATTAATCTACTACATCATGTTTATTTTTTCCGGCACGCTTTGCTTAATATTCTGCTCAGAAACCGGGATGGCAAACGAGAAATATCTAATGCAATTAGCTACGTGACATTTCGCGTCGACAAGTGGACCACATTTATGCAAAAATACGTCTGCAAGTCATCGTTGACAATAAAATGCCAGCACTCGTACCCCAAGGCATCGCCTGATCCCATTTCGAGTTTGTCCGAAATTACAGAGCAAAAGACTGCATAGTATCCTCCTCTGAAACCAAGAGAAACCTCCGAATTATGTTGCGTTGATGCATACAATTTGTTAATCTGTAATGCTATTCGAATCGAGGTATTTGTCCGTAGGGGAGTTTTTTTTTACAAATTATATGGAAGGCAATTAGTGGGCTTTCAAATTTACTGCTTTGTGCGATTTCTTTCTAAAGCATCCCAAAGATGATGTGAGGAAAGCCGCGGTCTTCTTGCATTTTCGAAACTTTGTAATCTCGATTCTATGAAACTCAGTTAAAGAAATCAAACAATCTTTGAAGCTTAAAGAAATTATTGAGCATTATTATGCAATAAATAAGTAAATAGCGAAGACTCCTGTTTCAATTGAAACGAATAATTATGTTCTTTTTAACTAATGAAATTTTGGGAAGTCTCCCAGAGCTCTACAGCTACTTTACTTGCCCTTAGCAGTAGTTAGTTATGATTGAAATCTCAATGTAACAAGAGAAAATATGCTGCAATTATAACAAATTCCATATTTTTCAGTAGGTATGTACAAAAAATACATATCAATATTCATGTTCTATTTACTATTAATTTTGTACCAGATTAAGGAACTTTTGTCACATGCTACATCAGAACAAAATATAATTATCTATTGTTTAGATTTTCTAACGGTTTCACGAAATACCTGAAAATTGGTGGAAAGTCTAAAATTAGGTTTCAAATCAATTATAATCCACATAATACATAAATAGATTTCTAGAAAACATTTACATTTAAATTTAGTACTTAGTGTTTATATTTTCTATTGTAATTGTTATTTATATAACCTTAATGCATCTAACTGCTGTTTTGTTATAAAAAATATTATTTTAACTATTATTAAATATGTTTTTCCACCTTTTTTAGCTTGTTATAATAGTCCAGTCGGTATCTGTTTTAAAAGTAGGATGTTTCATATAGTAACGCTCATTTTTGTTAGAAATAGTTCTAAATATTATGTAAAATGATAATTGCGATATGCGCCCGCTGAAAAAGTTGTGCATAATTGTTAATCCAAGGAAATGTAAAAAAAAAATTTTAAAGGCGCATTTTTCTCCCTTCTTTCATGTAGGTATAACTCGGAGAATATTGACTTTAGAGAAAATAGTCAAAGGAAAAAGGTTTCGGTTTGAGATTCTCTTCAAAATAAAAGTAGTCCGAAATTTGTATGTGCATTATTGTTGCTGCAATATACAGTATAGATCGAAAAACAATTCGTGAAAAAAGATGTTTTTTTCATGGATTTATTTTGACCTTGACTCTAGAGCAACCATATAAAAAATATGGTTCTGAGTACTTCATGATATGGTAGCATTTTTTCATGGAAATCGGCCGGGTATATTTCGCACAATTCAATTGTTAATTAAAAAATATAGAATTATACTTGTTTTTTAATTCTCTCTCACGGTAAAACCAATTATTTTGAGCTCCCAATTTTTATACATACCCTTAGGAGTCTCAACTATTAATCCCCATTTAAAAATTTTAATATTTCACAAAAATGAAAATAGACTTATTAAAATAAAGGAAAATTTACTACTTATATCATGAATATGCTCCTGCAGTAAATAAAATCTCAAGAAGTAATACACTAACTATTGTCAAGGTGGTTTTACAACAAAATAATAGCGACTAGATTCGTTATCTGTTGTAGAAGCTGACAAAAAATTAATTGAAATTGCGCGAGTGAATTATGCTGCTCCGCCCGAACCGCACGAATCTTTTTCCCCTTTGACTATTTTGGCTAATGTCGATATTCTTCGAGTTATACATGAAATAATGGAGAAAAATGCGCCTTTTTTTAATTTTTTTTTACATTTTCTTGCGCTACAATTATACACAACTTTCTCAGCAGGCGCAAATCGCAATTATCATTTTACATAATATTTAGTACTATTCTCAACAAAAATTAGCGTTACTATATAAAACATCCATCCCGAAACAGATATCGATTAAACTATAACTGTTCCTTGTTGCGTTATAATTGATATCTGTCAGTAAGCTGAAATTTCTAACAAATGACAGTAGCAGTCAAAGTCGTGATTTTATTATTTTTTAACTGATATGAT